ATATTATATGGAAATGTTTCCAAGTATGTTCTATATTAACTGTGAATGAATAGAACAAAATAAATTGCCTGTGATGGAAAAAAAAAAACGTTTTAAAGAGTCATAATGAAACCAAAGGATTATGAGATTAGTGGTGAATGAATAGTTCCTTAATTTTGATTTTCCTTATTTTCCATACCACGTGGTTCTGTTGATATGAGACAGATATTTTGGATTTTCCTTTAAACAAGCATGCTTGAGTTTGGAGAAGAAGAAAGCCATGCTCCAACACACACACACACACACACACACACACACACACACACACACACACACATGTATATATATATTGTTCAGTCACTTTTATCTTTGTTGTATGGATTGTTTTAAAGCTGGCCAGTCTATGTGACATAACTAATGACAGGAATTATACTGAGACACAGTATTTTTCCTTCACCTAGTAGTCAGTAGTTGCTAGTACTCCTTTGTCTAGGGTTGAGACCCAACAAAACTTCCATCCTTCCTTGTCAACATGTCCATTGTTATTACTATTTTTACCATATTCTTTATGCAGCCATTTCTAAGAGAAGCTGTGTGAGATGACTCATTCCTAACAGGCTTGAGGGCCAGCTGGCCCAAACAAGTAAAAAAGATGTACATGTACTTGTTGGGGCTGGGCTCCCCATAATCTGTTGACCTCTGCATTCTATCTAGGTTTGCTTTTCTATGATGATCTCCATTTGCTGTTAAGAGAAGCTTCTTTGAGGAGGGGTGTTAGCTAAATCTGTGGGTACAGGACTCAATTGATTCAAGGTGAATCTGACTGGAAGCACTCTTTTCTGCAGTCAAGCTTCCATGGTTCAAAAAAATTCTATGCAAGCTGCCAAGAGAAGGAAGCAATTAAATAGTCCTACCCTGGTATAAAACCTATGAATCATAGTCACCAGCATGGTAAGATACACATAAAGATGCAATCAGTGTCACTTACTTGGGGGTGGCAACCAACAACTGTGTCATTGGACTTAAGGACCACTCAGCAGTAGGTAAATGATTCTTGGTAGTGAAAAACTTGGGGCTAGTGAAGTCATGGACCTTAGAAAAGAATCTAATACTGCTAAGTTGATAGACAAACATTATACCTTAATGCATTCTAAACTAACACTGAATGTATTTTTATATGTTTATTGGTCATTGGTACTTCATTATTTGAGAACTAGTTATTCCTTTTAGTTACCTATTCCTATTTATTGAATAGATTATTAGGTCTTTGGTACATATACGTTACATATATATGTATATATGTGTATGTATATATATATATAATTTGTCTAGTACATATCTAGCAAACAATTCTCATCTGTAGGCTTTTTCTTGATTTAACTCTATCACTGCAAAGTTGGTATTATTTTCTGAGCTACTAGAGTTCCATTTCCATCATATATTTTCAGTCATTTAAAGTAATGGTAAAATTTACTAGAAAAAGGAAATTATTTTTAAGATTGACTCAAATTGAGGTCTTAGCATTTTTGTGGACATATTGAAGTGTAAACATTTTGTTACTTTTCAATGTTAAGAAACACCTTATTGTACCACTGCAATGAATGACACTTAGAAGTAGCCCATGTTACACAACAACAATATCTGATGAAATAGTTTTATTGATAAGTTCTCTTTCCATGTGCAGAATGTGGATATAAAAAAAAAATCTCTAATCTATTAGTCTTTTAAATCACCCATATACTTGCCCATAATGAGTAGGGTCCTGTTTCTTTTGAATATTTAACATTAAGTTTTTGACACCAAAACTGGAGGATAGATTATCAAAATACGAGTCCCTTACATTTTGAAAACTTCCTACCACATCTCATTCAATTGTGGGTTTTAATATTTCTTGTAATGCAAATTATATTGATAAATTGCTATGTGCTTTTAAAGACAACTAAGAAGTTGGCTCGAGGATAAGCATTGCCCTCATACAGACTTAATATACTTAATATGCAAAATGTTATTTAATACTTTCGAGACTTGGTCTGACAATATAGCTCTAGTTTACCCGGGCCTCACAATGTAATCAGACTGGCTCTGAAATCACAGTGATCTTTCTGTCTCTGCTGGGGTAAATGGTGCATGCCATCACACCCAATAAACTAAAAATAAAAAAAAAAACAGAAAAAGAAAAAAAATGATAGTGTTTTTTGAATCTCAGTCTTATCATGAATATTTTTTCACATTGTCCTACTAGCTCATGTTTTAATTAGTCGCCTGCTACCAGCTAAATAGGTTCATTTAAGGAAAATATGAGCAGGAAAAGAAAAATACAAAAAGAACAAAATGATTATCATGAATTTTGTAAAATTTACTTAGAATTTTTGTTTGTCTTTTTGTTTGTTTAGTTATGCTTTTGGATTTTTGGTCATTTTAAAGTCTACTTTTTTTTTAAGTCAGTGCCACCCACAGCCCTAGATGTCTCCAAACTCATTGTGTAGCTGACAAAATCCTTAACTCATGATTACCCTTCATTACCCTCCAAAACACTGGGTTACACATATGTACTACAAGAATAAATGGGCCTTAAGATGTCTCTGTACTGGAACAATGAAAATGGGCCACACATATAGTGAACCTCACTTGATGTCCATACAGTTGGTAATCTAAAATAAGTGTATTTATACTCTCATATATAAGGAAATAAAACTTGAACAATCATAGCAAGAGATCCCTTAGTGAATTACAGGATGATGTATTAAAATTACTCCCATGTAAAGAACTGACAAATGTCTCCAGTTAGATGATCTCTGTCTTTTTTTGTTTCTCTGGTTAGAAGTAGCTTCATCACATTAAAGGAAGAAAGATTGTGAACTGTCCTATTATGAAATGTTTCTTGTTTCTACATCAACATATTTCGGCAAATAAATATTAATTTTACCAAATTTCTTTATAAAAATAGCAACAAATATTATAAATATTAATCTATCTTAAAAATTACTTTGGATTGTGACAGTTTTCAAGTTCTTCAAAGAGTTAAGTACAATATTGCATATAGCCAAAAATTTATATATATGTACCAAATATGTACCAAGATATATACATAACACAAATATATATAAGATATATTGCATTATCATATATATATATCAGATAATATATCTATATGTATATATATGCAATATAACTGAAAACATAAATAGATACAAAAATTTGTCCATTTATGCTCATAGAAATATTAATCAACACTCAAAAGCAGAAAAATTCTAATGTCCATCAAGTAATGAATGGATAAATAAATGGAATATCTGTGTAATGGAATTTTATTCAGTATTTAAAAAGAAGAAAGTACTCATGCTGTATAGCATCTTGAAAACCTTACGTTAAATGAGAGAAGCTCAAAAGGAATGATCCTATAAATTATAAATCCAGTTATATAAATGTCTGGATAAATTATTTATAGATATAGAAGTTAAATTTGTGGTAAACAATGGCTAAGAGAATGAAGAACTTGGGAATGAATTTACATGATTCAGATTCTCATAAAAAATAATCTGGAATTAAAGAGCATTTCATAACTTTGGGAATATATGTAAATATGCAGAATAGTACACTCTGAAAGGATAAATTTTTAAGGTATTAAAATTATATTTGAATATTTGGAAATGAAGTTCTCAAAAACCACAACTTAAAGGCATTTGGTTCCATTATTTACTAGTTGTGTACAATTAAGCAGCATACTAAAACTCAATCAACTTCAAAATTTGGTATCTGCCCAATAAAGTGAATAATACCAAAATGCACAGTCACTATGACACAAAAATGTGAAACATGAGAAACCTAAAGCTGAGTGAGTAATTAACCAGCTGTTTTGTGATCAATGTCTTTTTTAAAATATTTTTAAATCAATCTACAGTAAGATACTCAGAAACCCTCAATTTCTTCACTACCTAATATCTTAAGTAACAAACAATTTAAACTTCCTGACATGCTATATTTATACCCATATATTTATATTTATATTTGTAAGAATATCTAAATAATACTTTCCATTAAATACATATAGTCATTTACAAGTGGTTTCAACGTGACTGAACATTTTCTGTGACACATTAATATCTCAAATATTCTCATAATGCAAACAACCAATCTGCATATTATGAGATTTCTGTGATTGTTGTTTTTTTTATTTTAGGTGGCAACACTGATCTATATTTCCTTATTGAAATAAGAAAAATAGGTGCACTTTTACCTGTCTACACTTAAGCATGGTTAGCCTAATTATTAACTTTAAATCACATAAGTAGTTTCATTCTGCAGACATTGATTTCTCTAAAAATATTACTATTATATTTAAAATAATATAGCTGTTTTTTTCTCAGAGCAACATGGATCAGGAGATGTTCCATTTATAATTTGATTTTCTCTAACCAGTTGTTATATTCTGTTATTTTGACAATAGTAGTTACTACAAATATTTAATGTCTACTAGTAGTTTCCAGATAAAATTATTGTCTGCATTAAAAAAAAGGGGGTTGGATTGTTGGCTCTGTAGTTATGAGTACTTGCTGTTCCTGTACAGGACTGAGTTTTGTTCCCAGCAAACACATGATATCACATAGACAATTATGAATCAGTTCCAATGGATCCAACAAACTCTCTGGCCTCTGTTTGTAATATATATGTTCCTGCATATAAAATAAAAATAAACAAATCACTTTATTTATTGTGCTATTATGTCATTATTTTTCTTGAGTAAAATTACCATAAATTTACTGTATATAGTTTTGCTAAACACTTGAAATGAGATAAGATATGCTATACAATTTAGCTAGACACTTAATACTACATCATGGCTTTATGATAAGACCTTTGATGTGCGGAGTGTTTTACTAGTTTCGGTTGTGGAAGTAATTTTTATAATAATTCTTCATATGAAATTTAATTTCTTAACTAAAATTTTATTTTAATCGTAAACCACAATAATGTTAACCTAAGTATAATATTATATATTAAAAGTATTAATCTTGCATAACTGAAATTTTATGTCTTGTTTACAACTTTCCTTTTATTCTGCCCTCAGTTCCTAGGGGTCATTCAATTCTTCAAATTTTTAATATTCTATATGTGTTCAATAAGTGGAATCATGGAATATTCATGTCTTTCCTATTGCCTTAGTTCACTTTACAAAATGTCCATTGATTAATGTATAAATAAAGACAATATAATGTTTATTTATAATTATTAGTCAGCATTCAAAAATGATTAAGTCTCGTACTATGCAAAACACAGGTTAATTTTTTTTATACTTTTGAATGGCACCAAACAGTTTCATGCATATAAAATCCTGATTAATGAAACAATATTTGTGTGAGTGTGTTACTGATATATATATCAGTATATATATACAGAAAGAAATTAGGGATTTATCTTGAGAAATACAGAGAGAGATTTATTGATATAATCTGTTTTATTTACTTTGCTTTTGTTGATAACTACATAATTTCATATTAAATATACCTCTGCTTATATTTAAAATAGATGCTTTTAACTATTTGAAACTAAATGACAAGTAACGATATTCAATAAGAGAACAGATTATGAATGACATTTTTCTTGAGATATATTCAATTGAAATTAACTTGAAATCAATTTTTGTCACTTCAAAAATGAAACTCAGCCGGGCAGTGGTTGTGCATGCCTTTAATCCCAGCACTCGGGAGGCAGAGGCAGGAGGATCTCTGTGAGTCCGAAGTCAGTCTGGGCTACAGAGTGAGTTCCAGGAAAGGCGCCACAGCTACACAGAGAAACCACGTCTTGAAATACCAAAATAATAATAATAATAATAATAATAATAATAATAATAATAAAACTAAGAAGCTATCAGACATTTTTTTAATAAGAAGTCAGATGCTGATCCATACGCAGATGATTTGCAGCAATTTCCTGTAATATGAAACATCCATGGTGGGAGAGAGGAGACTTATGGGCCTAAAGAAATAATGATTCAAAAGTTTGAGGGAATTCCTGAAACTAACCTGACTCACAATAATACAATATTACAGGAACAGTAAAGAATTTGGAGGAAAGGAGACTTTCTCCTCAGCAGAGCTACCTGGAAGAGACTGCCTAATTTGTCAGGCTGTCAGCCAATCATACTGGGGGCCCCGGGAGTATAGATTTTATGTTTTGTCACCCATAACAGGTGTGAGGGGGGATATTTGGTGATGCCACTGCCCTTGTGTCACACATGCTCCTGTAAGCAACCCTTCACCCATACTTCTATAAGTAAAACTAGTAAATTAATTAGTTAATTAAGTTGGACTTTGATGGAATTTTTTGTTTGGTTCATCATAAATTCCCTATATGAGATGAGTAGACTTCTTTATGTCTCCACCGGAAAAGTTCCAAACACTGATGCCCATAGCATTGTATTCTGATGGAACATAAAATTCTCTAGAAAATTCACAGGTGAAAAACACTGGTTTATGACATTGTACTTTATAACTAAAATGTTATGAAGTCACAGATAAACTGTGTTTTGGTTGTAATGAATTAGCATAAAAGTGATAATTGTTTCACTAATAATTCTATTCAGAGATTCATCTCTTTAGATTCCAGTTCACATTCCTTTGAAAATCACGTTGATAAAAGGGCAAGGGTACTTGTTATAGGGAAGAGCATGAGAGGAGACAAATGGATCTTGGTAGCAGAAAATGCTAACTGAACTATATACTATATGGAGGCGAGAGATGGAATGATACTAAAAATATAGTTTAGGGCTGTATTAATCTACTTTCTGTTTGTAATAATACAGTGATGCCAACAGGGTAAAATGTTTACATTTTCTTTCAACTGCAATGGTGAAAGACCATATAGATCATGCCCTAAAAGAAAGTCTGAGGAAGAAGGGGTTTATTTGTCCTAGGCTTCCACATCGCAGTCCATCACTGGGGAAAGTTTGGGCAGGAACGCTAGCACTTGGAGGCAGGACCTGGAGCAGAGACCATGGATGATTGCTGCTTACTGGATCACTCTCCGTGCCTTTCTCGGCTACCTTTCTTACAAGCTAGGACAACCTATTTAGTAGTGTCACAGCTCTTAGTGAGCTAGATCCTGTGACATCAATCATTATCTGCCTACAGATGAATCTGATAGAGGCAATTGCTTGGTTGAGATTCCCTCTTCCCAGATGATTCTGGTTTGTTTCAAGATTAGAAAAAACAATAGCAGTGTAGTTAATTATAAAGAAAGGAGGCTTGTTTAGGTAGTAGATATCAAAGTAAAGAAAGTAATGTTATTTGTCTTAGGAAGTATAGAACATTATGTTCTGAGATACATGGAATATTCAAGAGAACTAAGAAAACTGGCTTTTACAATTATCTCACACCTGACAACTCCCATGGATCAATTTACTGCACAGTTACTCTATTCAAGTGGTAGAGCCCTAATCAATGGGTCTTGAAATGATTTTATTCACAGTTGCCCTATATTTATTAGATTTCTGCAGTTTCCTGCTCAGTTCTGGATTGCATGAACATATGAATCATTCACTTAAATATGAAAACTAGTGAAACCTCTGGCTTACAACCTTCTAGACACTCTTGGCTTTAAAAAAGAAAATGTCTTTTACTTTTGTGAGATTATAATAGAAGTGCATCATTTTCTGCCCTCTCTTTCCCCCAGTCCAAATCTTCCTATATACCCCATTCTTACCTTTTAATTAACTAGTTTTCTGTTTGAATCTCTGTCTTTTTAAAATACTTGTGGTAATATTCTTTTATAATTAAGTATTTGATGACCGATTCTGCTAGCCTGTTTAGATGAGGATTATGAGACTTACAGAAGCTAATTCACTAATCCAAAGTAATAGATATGTAGCAGCTCTAATGGCAATAATGTCAATCAGAAGTAAAAAAAACATTATGTACTCAAGCTACAAAAAGGAATACAATTTATTCTCCATTTTAAATCATTCGGAATATACTGCAATTATAAGAGGCCCCTTTAATCCACATTCATATTTTCTGTGATTTCAGTTATCTGTAGTTACCACAGTCCTAGAATACTATCAAGAAAATTCTAGAAATAAAAAATGCATAAAGTTTTAAATTCCATATAATTATAAAAGTATGATGTCATCTCCTTTTATGGTACTTTATCTCACAAAACACATACATTATTATTCTTTCCAGAATATTCATATTTTTTACTCTTCCCACACATAACCCTGTGAAAATGCCTCAGGCTGCATGTACAGCTTATATTCCAGTATCCCTTCTTTAATATGAATGGCCCACAGACACACCAATTGTGATCATCCAGATTTGGGTGTACAGTAGAAAGGTCATAAACAGTTCCTTTAAGTGAAAAGTGAAAATACACTAAGATATATTGAGAGAGAAAATTTACACAACTATTATTACAGTATTTATTTTTACAATTATTTAATTCACCATAGTTACTGTTGTAAATTTCTTTTTAAATTTTTTTTTGGATTTAATTATTTAAAAATTGCAAATAAATATCACAAACCATAATTAACCAAACCCAAATTCTACACATGAACTTTTATCTAGTTAAAATGGCAGTTTTAGTGGTGAATAAATGTGTAAAGCTCTAACTGATAACAAAAAATGGATAATTTCTTATAGTTAATTTATAGATTAAAGTTTATCATATCTATATTTTTGGATTCTTTATGTAATTACAGACATCCACTGTGGTTTTATAGAATACTCCAGGGAAATAAAGAATGGTCACTTTAATTTCTTGCATTTATACTGAACTCCTTGATCTTTTTCATGCTTCTATAATAGTCACAAGAGTAAATCTAGCCCTCTGCCTGTTTTGTAAACAACCTTGAATAGACAGGTATAGGAAAGAAAAACACATCATTTTGATTATTTCTATTTAATATTTAAGATTGTACACCTTATGAGATTTTTTTTATCACAGCCTAACAATTATACTTCATTTCCTTTTCCAAAGGACTCTCCAAACTCTGATCTGACCATTTTTCATTTTTAAAGTTTCCATAAAACTATACCAGTTCTGTTTTCTTAATCACAATTAAATGTATCTGTCTCTTGTTTCTCTGATATTAAACAGGTTAAGGACTCCTCCCAGAAGAAATAAATCATCAACAAAAAACCCCAAAGTTAGGTGTGTAATACCTAATTTGGAGCTGTTGATCAGAGTTGGCACCGAGATCCCCAAAACAATACAAAATATTGGCTTTGGTTTTTGTTGTTCACCAGAGCTTGATGGAAGTTGTGTTAATTTTCTTGATTAGTGAGGTTCATGGTAGAACATCCTCTAGTAGATGGCTCTGCACTCACATACAAACAGAGAACATTAACTGAATTCAGTGGGGAAAGAAAGAGAGAGAAAGAAAAGCAAGGATGGATTGAGGAAAGGACAAGAATTTGGGAGATAGATGTGGAGAGGGTGTTTCAAGAACCTAGAGAGGAAAGTGGGGAATAGATATGATTTAAATACATTCTGTAGGTAAATGAAATCATCAAATCAATAAAACAACAGACAAAAGAGATTTTCTTCATTTTTCCGTGAATCATTATGTCTGCTTTGGCTCTTTTCAATTCTCTGCTATATGATCCAAACTAATAAATAGTTGTGGTTATTATTTCCCATCTTTTACAAAACTTCTGTTGAGAAAAGTAGTCGTGTAAACTTATTTCCTTTATGTTTAGTGTGCCAGGAAGACTTCTTTGCAGAGATAGTGTTCTCAGAGCCTATGCTGAGCATTAAGAATGACTTTCCCTATTCCAGGCTTGCTTTGTGCTGCCTGATATATGTAATTTTGCTTCAGTTGCGAACTAGCCAACAGTACCAATATATTCTGACTTTAGGTCCTAAGGAATTGGGTCCCTCTACTGCATTATGATATAGGATATGTGTAGCCACAGGAACCACATAGTCTACAGAGTAGATCCACTGACCAAGAAGTATTAATCCTTTAAAAGGAGGAGGCTTTTGTGCCTCTTTCTTTTCTCTTGTTTTAAGTAAATGGTTTACATGTTTAATT